TATATATATATATATATATATCATTATAGGGTCAACTATTTTTTCGCCTATGAAAACATTGTGAATAAACAATTGTAAATCAAATTTCTCAATAAACGAATTTATTCCTTACGATTTCTTATTCTCTTTGTAAGTCACAAGAGCGAATTGTAAGTTCCGGAAAAGGGTAATCCAGAAAATTGCAGAATGTTGGGTCAAAATAACAATAGGCTGTTCACTGCGAAAAGGGGTGTCTTCCACCGAAATTCAGAGAGTAGAGTTGTCAACGTTCAATAGGGTTAAACTAATTCAACGACGCATTCGCTGGAAATCTTTGGCAATCTAGCGATCAAACTCGTGGAAGAAGAATTCTAAACGCGATCTAGGATAATATGTAAATATATAAATATTATTATTTGTTGGAAGCCAGCTATGCACATGCAACGATGACGACATGTCTGTCGAAGGTTGCAGGGCATTACCGACCTTTGGACTTCAAGGGGTCGGTTTTGAGGGCTTAAAAGGGCCTGCCGTCTTTCAGAGCTCCACAGTCTTCAGTTAGAAACCAAAACGACTATTTATACATTGCTACCCATAGCGGCATCCAAATTGAAAAAGAAAAATAGGACTCATACGTTTTAATTATATATCGTATAATAAACCTCTTACAAATAAGATTGCTATACAACTGAATACAGTTACTTCCCTGTGCGTTTGGCTATTTCCTCCACGAAACTCCCAACATTATTAAATTGAAATTTATCAATTTTCAAATTGGTGAGAAATGAAAAATCAATAACGCTGTATTTGATCGTGTCGATTCCATTGGAAGAACGATAACAAACGGAAAGCAAGAACGTATGATCGTACTGCAAAATGAAGATTGAAAGGCAGATGAAATTAATCCAAGGTAGATCTAAAAAAAGAGTGATCTATCGCAGAATAGATCACGGGCACCCAGTGAAAGAGGCTTTGTTTCTTATAAAACTCGTTAGGGGAACGTATCGCTTGGAAGCTGAAAAGATGAAAAATGCGATTACCGATCACGAGAGGTTCTTTAATCCCCGATTATTATCCCTTGATCGGTTACAAAAGGGTTCGCTGAATGAGATAAGAAGTGGTAAGCTCGTAACAATTACAGTGAGGTTACTAAAAGCCCAGGAATGGTCGACAATGGAGTGCCTCTGAAGAAAGTTTATTGCTCCCTAATAAGTTTCTGGGGTGCACCCTAAGAAAGAGGTTAAGTTCAGAATACACAGTGGCCGAACGGTGTGATGGACTCAAAATTTCAAGATGTCTACCAGTGATGAAACAGCCGATGATGGGCTTCCTATGATCCGTTGTGATTCCGATATCGATTAAGTGGTATATCATGCCACTTGAAAAAGTAATGATGACTTCGTAATTTTGTTAAATTTCCACCTATCAAAATGTTATTATCCCATTGTCACATTATTTATAATAATACGGTTGTTAATCATTATTTACACAGTGGCCTCATTCGAACCGTACAATAAATAATTTTGTCAACAAAACTTCCTCGTATCTTTAAAAATAACTAACAAACAAATAAGAAGTTATATGCAATTATTTATTTATTAGAGAACTATTGTAATAAAAAATTATTATATAAATGATTATAAATTATATCATGAAAATTATCGGTAATGTAGAAATTGTTTAGGAGGCAGCAAAAGGACGGTGGTAGATAATGAAAGTATGATTTATTGTGAACTGATTTAAGACATTCTAGACGCTATGACCTTTCACACTGACTATCTCTTTCATACATTTGGAACTGTTCGTTTCACGCTCATGTGCCCTTATATAACCCACTTGCATCCAAGCGCGGAATATTCCGCGAGACCGCGACAGTCTACTATCACCAAGCACGGAATTTCGCAAACCCGCGACTGTCTACTATCACCAAGCGCGGAATATTCCGCGAGCCGTCGTTTACTGCACATAAGACCGACCACGCCACTTTTCCTACAATAAATATGCAGTTTATATGTTAATTTAACACATTATATCATATATAATTAACAAAGAAATCTTTGGAAGAAGAAGAAGTAGGAAAAATGAAGTTATTAATAATGAAAACAATTATAGTTGTTAGTTAAAGGGTTCACCTTGTATTTGTAATGAATTTAAAAAATTGTAATACGACGTATGTAGGCATGCTAGAATTTAAGAGTGAATGCAAAGCAACACTTGGGCCTATCTAGCTGATAATTTGCAATAAACAGCAGCCTAGGGTTCATTTATGATTGTATCAAGTGACTGTATGCAAATGAAGAGCGAAAGGCGTCTGACTGTGAGTGTTTAGGGTACGTCAGGACATAAGTTTAACTCTTTGTACTCGATAGGTGCCTCTCAGTCGCCATTTAACCACATTCTAAAGATCGATGTTAATTAATACATCAAATCTAAAATTACTCAACAATACGTGGAATATCGAGGTAAAATAATTCCACGTCTTAATTTGCATACGATTTCCTATTTACCGTTTTAAAAATATCGTCGACTTTATAACATAATGTCTTCGAATTTCTATTTTTCTGTGACAAAGAAATCCCCGGGTATAAAGGGTTAAATGAGGGTGCAAGGGCTGTCCTAGAACAGCCTTTTACGGAGTTTGAAGAAGAGTCGATGTGCTAGTATTAGTTGCGTGATCATAGTTCAGTTATTAGTCTAGTCTTTCAGTCTCTACTTTACTCCTAAGTCTCTCTTAGCTCGTAATAAATATATATTGGAAACATTGGGAAAACACCATTTCTTATTCCTCATATTTGCCAATCAAAGGTATCCCTACGTGTATACTCAAAAATTACTTGAAATTAAATAGTGCAGCAAGAAAATGTAAGTGTACGTGATCCAGAGGAAGCAAAGTATCTCGATATTGCAGAAACTGACCGATCGATGAACACAATATGTTCCGTCGTGGAACAAGGAAGACCCGTTACGGTCTTCCAACAGCCAGGTCTTAGGGTCGAACAATTCGGCATCGGAATTTTCCGCTCCATGCCTTCAGCATGTTTGAATGCTTTACCTTTTTTTCTTTGACTTCTCGTGTCGCGGAACACGAGAATCCTGGAAATCCCTAATTTAACGAAGTTAGGCGACGGCTCTTAAGACTTGGCTGACAAAGGCCTGAGGGCTCCACGTGGTCCGCACTCGTTGGAAGCCTCAGGCCCTCGCTAGGGGTAATAAACGACCGATGGGGTCACCAGCGCGCGGGTGGACCCCAGGTACCCCACCTTGGAGGAGAGGGTTTCCTCCACTATCGTTGGTTTTTGGGGGAACCTTCCCTTTCTCCAAGGTCACGGATTCGCGAACCAAGGGAACGCCCTTGGTCAAAATCAGCCAATCATATTTGGCGAGCTCCCGATTTTTCCTAAGGCCGATCTTAAGAAGATCGAGGAGCTCACTTCCGTACGAGCTCTCAAAGACACCGGTTCTTTCTAACGACTTCCATACGAAACATCAGAGACATCGGTCCTCTTGAACAGTTCTCTTCAAATCAGCAACACGTCACGGTTCCCTTCGAAACGCCGAACGTCGTAGATACGAGTCTTTTCTGCTCGTGCAACTCAAACAGTTGCCCAATATTCATTTGGCGGGCAACACGTGTCGTAGTCGCGAAACGGCTTTACAACCCGTCGGAAACACGAGAGTTTCGATCGCGACGCGATACGACACAATAATAGATTCTTCGTGGAGTTACCGATGCCGTTCCTTGAACTACCCACAGCAACTAGATGGGTCTTCGGATTTGCTGACAGGGAATCCTCCATCTTGAACTGATCTCTTGGGACCGCGGAAATCCGACACAGGGTAAATATTGAGATCACGAAGGATCGCGTAGATCGCAGTATGACCGTTTCCTATAACGACCTTTGCCCCTGTAAAACTATAAGGTATCAGGAAAGATTTACTCCGGGGAAGCAACCCCTGTGACTCGGTCGATTTAGGTGTAATGATAGAAATAACGGCTATGTGAAGGCGGTTCCCCGAGGACCGTTTGTTAAAATCGTTTACAAACCTTTCGTTTACCATTACTTTTCCAACTAATTCCGGGCTTAAGGTGAAAGAGTGAGCTGGGAGATAGAGGTAGACACGATGAATTTAGAGGGCTGCTTAAGAGGAATGTGGAAAGTATTTATATGGATATTCTTTACTGAAAATTCCTTTTCTTTTATTTATTACAGTTTGGTAATGTAGTTCTAATAGAATGCAAGCGTAATGGAATGTATTTATTACTGAATAAGTACTACTTCGATAATTAGATGAATCTCAACTATAGGAGACAATTGACATTTGGAGGAAATTGTATATAACACGAATACCATCGTTTTCGCTATGTACACTGTCTCCACTATCCACTATACTCTATCTCCACTGCAATTAACTGTGTTGGATGACTAACGATTCGTTGGTCCTTAGTCACTAGAAGGACCTGGCTGATAAACGCAGACCTATTTCAGAGTCCAAAAACAATTGACTCATTCTCACCGTCGCTAAGGGCCAATGGTCATCTTCACCCCCCCCCCCCCAAAACTAACATTATATAAGCGCTCACAAAATTTGCGAAAGCTCAGTTTGAGGACAGTTTGAGGACAGTTGCAGTACACATTCAACACAGTTTCCAACGTTGCCTTGTTGCTAGAACCTGTGTTGTATATTGAAATCCGGGTTGCAATAAGTGAAACACAAGCACTTATGCCACGAGCCTACTCATCTTCACGTATAACCCGTGTGTTGGTTGCAGGATGAACAAAGACTTCTTGTCTATTTTGTATTCTTTAAAGGTTTTCTCGCACACCTCCAATTTGAATTTCGATAAGACAGTGATGAGTGCCACCTTTGATTGATATTTTGCAAATCTTGCACCTAAAAGAAAAATTATTCAAAGGTGTTCCATGAATATACATTTGTATATATTTTTTAGATTAGTATGCATATTTTGTTTATTATTATTGAAGTGTATTTATTATTATATGGTATTATAGTATGAAAATAATTATTCGCAAAGAATATTACTGAATATGCAATCTACAACGCTATTTTGTTATATAATAATAATAATATAATAATAATTATATTGTTATTTTAAATAACACTGTTTTATTATTACTGCATCATAATTATTGTATTTTATTGTTACTATTGTATTATTATTATTTAGTTGGTTATATAAAATAATAGAAATAACAATATTAATAAAAGTAATAGATATAAAACGTAGTGAGAGAAAAGCATGCTGTACCTATGCAATTTCTTGGTCCATCCCCAAATGGCAAAAATAACATAGGATGTCTGGTCTTAACTTGCTCATCGCTGAATCTCTCAGGATCAAAGTCATCTGGATCTGGATAAATTTCCGGATCCCTTTGAATCGCGCGGACAGGTAAGAACACCTGTTGGCCCTTCTCTATGCTAATTTTTGTTCCTGGGAACGTGTAATCCTGTAAAGCTGTCCTCGACAACCACAGTAACACTGGATACTTTCTCAATGTTTCTATAAAAGAAAAATCAAAACCGACGATATTCGAATATATTTGACAAGTCTAACTACTAATGATTTAACAGATAATTTGCATTGAAAAATTATTTTGCCATATTCCATCTATTTTTAAAAGTAACTTAATAATTTTATATTTACTCAATTTTATATGCAGAAACAATCAAACAAATTTCGTAATTAAACAACATTTTCTTTAATTAAAATAAAGTTAATTCAACCCCTTTAAGCCTCATCTATAATTGGAATGAGTTCAAAATTTTTTAAACGATATTATCTCCTGCATAATACCTATCACTGCATAATTGATACCATTTACTATATGGCAAAACAATGTCTCTGTTTGAATAGTGGATAATGTACCTTGGAAACATGCGTCCAAATATTTCATTTCCTTTATGCAGTCATACGTGATCACACCATTGGTTTTTGCCAAAACTTCCAGAATCTCTGCTCGAGCTTTCTCCTGAATCCATGGCTTCTTTGCAAGCTCGATTATTACATGACTAATCGTGAGCGAAGATGTTTCAAATCCAGCAATAAAGAAAACGAAGGCTTGCGACGTTAAAAACAGATCGTCTACCTCTAAACATACAAAATTATATTTCGAGTGCATAGAAAAATGTATTATCTTCCAGTATAAACACTTTGCTTTTCGCTTCAAATCGCATTATCTCTAACAAATCATATTTCACGCATAAGAAAATAAAAGACTGTACAATTTTAAAGACGGAACTTGTCACGAGCAAGAGATTAAAGTATCTATAGCTGATTGATTAGGTTGGATCGCGTTAGCTTTCTCAAATTTAACCCGAAAAGAAGAAATTAATTCACGATAAACATGTGACACGAGTTATTGATGCGTTTCAGCTGGAGGTTGTTCAATTTTGATAATTTTGTTTACTCGTTACATTTTTAAATCTTTTATATTATTATAAATTATATAATATTTTAACAATTTAATCTTCGCCCGAGTAAATTTATCGCGAAGAAAATGAAAGAAAAATTCACAAAACAGTATCGAATTTCAGATTACAATATCGTATTAATTATTCCAAAAATTGTAACATCATTTTCAAACTTTGAATCTCTGGATTCTTCTTTTCTCATATTTGTTTCTCGCTTTTTATCTTGTTTTTAAATATTATGTATGTTGTTGATTACTTTAAATCAAATTTGTATTAACTTTACACTATTACTATTACACTATTACTATTACATTAATAATGTAATTTATACCATACATTATATCTCACTTTTAATTACATATGTAGTCACATACTATATTTCTTTCATTAGAATGGATCTTATAGTAAGAAATAAAATTCAAAGTACAGGGTGACTCACTTGACTCAAAGCTGAATCAAATTTGCATAGGAAATTTTAAATAAAAAATTCTTTTCGATTCAAATAAAATATTATTTCTTCGTGGTTGATAATAAATTAACTAAATTGATTTGGAGAAAAGAAAAAATCATATGTATCTATTTTTATAATTGTCACAATAACTTTTCTTCCATTATCTGTCACTAACTCTATAGTGACACTTGTAGAGTCCAAACGACTATAGTTTCGAAACGTTATACGCTCATAACCTCACTTTTTTATTTCCAACAGACTCCTAAAAATAGCTCCACTTGGAGCCCCAAACCCAAGAAAAAAAGAATTCAAAAACATCTTACCTTTCTCTCCAAGTTTCTCCGGATGTTGCTTCAGGTCCACCAGAGTGTCTATAAAATCGTATCTACGGACGTTGTTCTTCATCCTGTAGTCTATAGTCTCTGTGGTGATCCTCTTGAAGAACTCGACGATATCTCGCTCGATAGTCAATGGTCCAAGGACCTTAAACAACCACGGGAAATCCCTCAATCTGTCCCTGAACATCGACTTTATATTCGTTTGGAAGACCTTCCTGCCCATCTGGCGGAACTCGCTGTTTTCAGAGGCGAATGAGTTTATCTCGATACCAAAGGCGCAAGAACCGATCACGTCGGTGGTGTACTTCGCAGCGATGTCACGGCACTCGATGAACTCGCCCTTCTTCACTAAGTTGTCCAGGTACTTTCCAAAGTGGTCCGCGCACTCTACCAGCAAGTGAAACATCTCCCTCAGCTTGCCAGAGGTGAAGACAGGCGAAAGTTTGGCTCTTAAGGGCCTCCATCTGTCTGATTCCAACCTGAAGAGATGCTCCGATAGTGGCTCCACCTATAAAATATGCAACGATATTTTTGGGAATCCTGAGAACTCTACTGGAATTAACTTAGACAGAGTCTAAGTTTCAAAAAATCTACTTGAAAACTGTCAAGACCTCATAGCTATAGATTTACTCAATCTTGGTTACCATAAGTTCCCCCTTATTACTCAGGTCAGTTACAAACACCACGTTAACGTGATCGAAATACTAATACGCAATTGCTACGTATGAGCATGCACAATACAATATTACATACCGTTCGCACAGTCCTTATCGTCCTGTCAGCAAATACGGAGAAATCTTTGATGAGGACAGTCTTTATGATATCCGGATCTCTGAGTACCAACAGTGGAGTATGTCCAACATATATTCCTACCACCTGTTCATCTCTGAAATTATTGTACGCGTCTTCGAAAGAGTCGCTTACAGAGGCTTTCCCCAGAAATACATCCTTGTAATTTCCAAGAAAAGGTAACGGCTTTGGTCCATTAACGCCTCGCTTTCGCCAATACTCTAATTTCGATTTCGAATAATAATACAACAGAATCAATACAGTGACTGCAAGCCCAACGGTCTCAATCACTGGCCAAGTCATCGTGTATAACTCGTCGACTGTTAATCATCAAAATTTTCTATCAAAATTAACTATTAATTAACGAATATTAACTTCACTATTTCCGAACAGAACTTGAGAAACAATAACGTATCAGTGCCTCGAGAACACAATCCTACTTCTTAACTTCGATCTCAATCACTGTCTCTGTCCAGAGGCGGAATCGCAATGAATTTTTATTTACTCCCCTCTCCGAAGAACACGGTACTGTTTGCATGGCACCAACATTGGCGTAATCTCCTGTGTCATTGCGATTGTCGTGGTTTGTCGAGATGATTCGCAGAAAGCATTTGTTCGCGCGGAGATATGTCGTCGATTCGTGTACTCTGCGTACTGATATCCCTTGCGCCCTCTCTGCTGCGCGTCTGTAACTAACGCGTTCCGCCATCGCGGTCAAATACCACGCCGGTTAACCTAACTATGCTCGATTCAATGAAAATTGGCAGGAAATATAAACAGGGAGTTCACTTTTCAAAAGTTTCAATGTACAATAGATACTTATACATATATGTATTGTATTTTTATTTATTTTATTAACTTTATTAATTTTATTAATATAAAATTATTTATTAACACTTCATTGATCTCAAAGATTCGGTGTCAGGCCCTGCTATCTGTTATGGAATGACCTACAGTTGGTTATTGGAATCATCTAAACATTCCAAAATTATTTTATAGTAAATTAAAGGATACATCGTGTCATTTAAAGAAATAAAGGTGGCTTTAGAATTTTGGAAAGTCCTCCACCTATAAAAAAATTAATGTAGTCTCATTGTCACGTTATTTATTGTCATATTGTCATTAATTATTATTGACACAATGGCCTTCTTCGAACATTTATCAACAATGCTTCCCCATATCTCTAAAAGTGACATAAACGATTAATTATTTACAATTATTTACTTAATAATAAACTATTATAATAAAAAATTATTTTATCATATATAGTAGGTCATTATAAAATCTTTAGGAGCAAAAGAAGTAGAAAAACTCAAATTACTAATAATAGAAACAATGAAAATGGTCAGGTTAGGTAGTTCATCCTGTATTTGTAATGTGTCTTCTAAGAAATTAGAACACAATGTACACTTAAAAGCTACTTGAAAGCTACTTGAGATCAAATAGTATAGGAGAAAAATGTAAGTGTACGTGGTTCAGACGAAGCAAACTATCTCGATATTGCAGAAACTCAGCAATCCCTGGACACAATAATAGATTTTTCACGACGTTACCGATGCAGTTCCTTGAACCATCCAAAGCAGCTAAATGGGACCTCGGATTTGCTGACACGGAATCCTCCTTCTTCAACTGATCTCTTGGGATCGCGGAAATCCGACACAGGGTAAATATCGAGATCAGGATGAATCGCGTAGATCGTCTTCACACTCGCCTAACCATTTTGTATAAGAACTTTTGTTCGTGTGAAGACATAGCGTCAATAGGTAAAACTGAGCAAACGATTGCATATGTTGTCTCACATGTGCGAGAAAACGTGTAAGAGATTTTCTGTAAATGGTGTGCAGATGAATTAGTACTCGATGAATTCGAAAAATTTTCGTGATTTTAGTAACATTCTCTTTTCGAATTTTTGTTTCTCGTTTCACTTGCAATTAGTGTCACTCTCTTTGCGAAATTTATGAGATGGTTAACACTACAACAACCAACGATTGACTTGTTTCTTAAATTAAAATGGCTTGTTTCTTAAATTAAGAAATCATTTAAGAAAAGACGTAGCAATTTTTACGTTTTTCTGTATTTTTCTATTTTCTGAGCGAAAATTGAATATAAACTGATTAACAATAGTAATATAATAACAATAATTTAAAAATAATTACGTATAAAAGTTTACACCAAGTAGACAGAAAGAAGAGAAAACTGCTTTGCAGAATTAATTATTTGGATATTTTAGAAAAAGTCATACAAAATTTTAGGAAATAAAATATATTGAAAATGAATAATAATTGTAAGAAATACCAAACAAGTCATTTTGACCCCCTTGGTAGATCTAGTATTAAGGTATCATTTCCAATTGTAATATTTCAGAATAAATTTTGATTTACAAGAAATATATTTCGAAAGAGCAGTCTTCTGACTTCAATTACTTTGATATAAGAATATAAATATTTATGTATATTATTTATATTAATTATCTTTTTCTGCATTTTATATATATATATATAAAAGATAATAAATTTTAAATTTTGTTTCTTTGTGTCGATTTTCAATTGCACATTATTTAATTTCTTATTTCGATATGATGTACTATTCTGAATTGGATATATATTTTTAGTATTCTACTTTTACATACAATTATATAATACTATATAATGATAATTATGAATATTAATAGAGAAAATAAGCACTTCGGTGAGAATAATGAATAAATTTCAATGCGATTTTTATCGGTAGGAGTAATAAATATTCTGCATTATGTATGTATGAATTTTCTAAAATTATAAATTTCAGAGTTCTGATATTAAAAATTTAAAATACGGGTTTCATATCGCACATTGCATATTATAAATTATGCGACGAATTAATTTGAACGAAAACTGGATAAAAAGCATTTAAGTCTGTGGAATCCAGTGTTCAGATAATAATTTACGCCACTTTGGAGCAGATAATATCGTCGAAAACGTATCTAGGGTACAATGCTTTCCTTACATGTAACACAAAGTAGAAGATTGCATTAGTAACTGTCCAAAATGTACAAAATTCTCTCCACAGACTGGAAGACACGAGTATTTACTCAATCTACCCAAAGAATCTTCCATATACTCAAAATTTTATTCGATAAAATATTTCACGTACATTTTTATTTTTATTTTATACGTTGATCTAAATCACGTGAAACCCTATAGATATACCTATATATACATCATATACAATATCAACGTAATTTATCAATTTATTATTGAAACTAATTTCAGATCAAATTTTACATCTATTATATCTCCTTACTCGCTCCTATTTTACATATAAACATTTAAATATAGAATTTAAGCATTTAAGAATTTAACATAATTATTCAATCTCTATCTGGCCATCATATGTGAACTAATAATCACAACTTCTAATACCAGATCAAATTTTACATCTATTATATCTCCTTACTCGCTCCTATTTTACATATAAACATTTAAATATAGAATTTAAGCATTTAAGAATTTAACATAATTATTCAATCTCTATCTGGCCATCATATGTGAACTAATAATCACAACTTCTAATACAAAGAGAAAGAGAGAAAAGAAAGACGTGGCTTATATCTATTATCTACTTTCAGATAATATTTCACGAAGCTACAAATAATTGAAAATCAAATATTCATAAACGCTTTTACGCGGCGAGCTTCGTTAACTTCAGGTGCACTCCGTCAGCAGGTTGAAGAAGGAACAATTGCCTCTTATCCACTTTGTATTCTTTACGAGTCTTCTCGCACACCTCAACCTTGTATTTCGACAGGACAGTAACCATTCCAACTTTCAGTTGTTTCTTGGCCAATCTTATACCTGAAAAAATATCGTTTGCTTTATCTTCGAATTTTTCTATTTCACCATTTTATGTCATATTTTATTTTATTTTATATTATATTTTTATATTTTGCTTTATGATTTTTATATTATTTGCAATTGCTTTTTATTGCAAAAGTATTTCTTACCACTGCAGTGTCTTGGGCCATCGCCGAATGGTAAATGGGACATTAGGTGTCGAGTCTTCATATTTTCTTCGGTGAATCTTTCAGGATCGAAGACATCCGGGTTTGGATAAATATCTGGATCTCTATGAATCGAATATACGGGTAGAAAGACTTGTTGATTTTTCGGAATAGTGAGCTTTGTTCCTGAGAACGTGTAATCCTCCATTGCTGACCTGGATAACCATTGTAATACTGGGTACATTCTCAACGTTTCTGTAAAATGAAAAGAATAATTATTACTTCGTCTATAATAGTCTATAATAGTTATTATATAAACATAAACATTTATAATTGTATATAGCTGTAGGAATTGTAAGTGTGAGAGTTAGTGCAAAGGAACCCTTGGGCTTATCTAGCTGGCGATGGGCAATAGACAGCTATCTAGGATTCAGACTGTATGTTTAGAGTGTTGTCTGTAGTGCGCGTGCAAGGACGAGTGGACGATTTGCATCCAAGCGCGGAATATTCCGCGAGCCACGACTGTGGTCTATCACCGAGCGCGGAATATTCCGCGAGCTACGACTGTCGCCAATCACCGAGCGCGGAATATTCCGCTAGCCCCTACTGTTTACTATCACCAAGCGCGGAATATTCCGCGTGCTACGGCTGTCGCCTATCACCGAGCGCGGAATATTCCGCGAGCCGCTACTGTTTACTATCACCAAGCGCGGAATATTCCGCGTGCTACGGCTGTTGACTATCACCGAGCGCGGAATAATCCGCGAACTGACTCTTTCCACTACCAGTTGCTGAATATTCTTCATATGCCACAGATCACGTTTGATCTCATCTACATCGATTTATTATATTCTTAACAAGTTTTACTTTTGTCTAGTCGTCAGTTGAACGTGGCTGATGCCTGAACACGGCACCTTAAGTAGAGCCATGATGCAAATGGGTTAAATGAGGATGCAAGGGCTGTCCTAGGACAGTCCTGTTGGTGAAAGTGAGATACGAAGTTTGAAAGATTCAGTCAGTAATCAGTTAGAGTTAGTTCCAATCCTTAATCAGCGAAAATTTTAGCCGAAGTACTCTCCAACGTAGTAGAGACTCTACAATACTTTAGATATACTTAGATACACTATACTTTAGATTATTAGATAAAACTATGGATAATCGTGTGTCAAGTATTCTTTTTTCATATTTCTGACAATGCAAATAGATTAACCCTTTGCACTCGAGGATTTTTTGGCTAGAGAAGACTAGAAATTCAAAGATTCTCTACTAAAACACTAACTATACTTTTTTGAGCAGTAAATAAAGAATTGTATAATAATAGAATTATAGAGTTATTTCGATACCTCGCACACTGTTACATTACATTAAATTTGATATATTAATTAATATCGATGTTCCAAATTTTATGAAACGGTGACTGAAGCTCAATTTTGAATAGTAATATTTTTAGATCGCGTGACTTCTACGTGTCTTGAAAGGTCGTGAATGATAAAAAGAATGTCGACTAAATTAATTATAATTTATGAGAGTTAAGAGATGAAGGAAACTCGAGTATGAATGTGATTCCAAGTGAATAATACGTCTTTATAGAGTGAATTCTTTTTAGCGAGAATTCAGAGAACAATACCTAGCAAACATGCATTCAGATATTTCATTTCTTCTACACCGTCGTATGTGATCTCTCCGTTAGTCTTTTTTAAGACCTGCAATATTTCAGCTCGAACTTTCTCTTGAATGGCTGGCTTCCACGCAAGCTCGTACAAAGCATTGCTGATCGTTAGCGACGCATTCTCGGAGCCAGCAAGGAAGAAAAGCTGAGCTTGGGATGTCAGGAACAAATTGTCTGCTTCTGTACATGCAAATAATATATCTCACATTTGATATTCAAGGTATCGAACATATTCTGTTCAAATACACGTGTATTTAAAGAGTATTAACGCTGAAAATACTGGTGAATAAACTGCCGATGGAATAAACTAATATTATTAAATAACATTAATTACGCGAAATAAGTTTCAATTTCGAATTAGTTCAGATTGGAAAAAAATTTCGTGTTTCTGTTAAATGATTTTGGGTCGTAAACAGGTGGCTCGACGATTAAAATTGATATGGAAATCTTAAACAAAGGAGCAAAAATAAAATTCTTATCTCTATGATAATTTGCTTATTAGCTACTCAAAGGTTGTTTTCATCGTGGGACCAACAGATTACGAACTGGTTTGCATATCATTTAACACGAAGTAAATATTATTGCGTTAACCTTTTGATAAGTTTGCATCACTTATGCTTTCACTCTTTCAACAATGGTATGTGGCTGCAGATATCGTGGCTTATATCTATTATCTACTTTCAGATAATATTTCACGAAGCTACAAATAATTGAAAATCAAATATTCATAAACGCTTTTACGCGGCGAGCTTCGTTAACTTCAGGTGCACTCCGTCAGCAGGTTGAAGAAGGAACAATTGCCTCTTATCCACTTTGTATTCTTTACGAGTCTTCTCGCACACCTCAACCTTGTATTTCGACAGGACAGTAACCATTCCAACTTTCAGTTGTTTCTTGGCCAATCTTATACCTGAAAAAATATCGTTTGCTTTATCTTCGAATTTTTCTATTTCACCATTTTATGTCATATTTTATTTTATTTTATATTATATTTTTATATTTTGCTTTATGATTTTTATATTATTTGCAATTGCTTTTTATTGCAAAAGTATTTCTTACCACTGCAGTGTCTTGGGCCATCGCCGAATGGTAAATGGGACATTAGGTGTCGAGTCTTCATATTTTCTTCGGTGAATCTTTCAGGATCGAAGACATCCGGGTTTGGATAAATATCTGGATCTCTATGAATCGAATATACGGGTAGAAAGACTTGTTGATTTTTCGGAATAGTGAGCTTTGTTCCTGAGAACGTGTAATCCTCCATTGCTGACCTGGATAACCATTGTAATACTGGGTACATTCTCAACGTTTCTGTAAAATGAAAAGAATAATTATTACTTCGTCTATAATAGTCTATAATAGTTATTATATAAACATAAACATTTATAATTGTATATAGCTGTAGGAATTGTAAGTGTGAGAGTTAGTGCAAAGGAACCCTTGGGCTTATCTAGCTGGCGATGGGCAATAGACAGCTATCTAGGATTCAGACTGTATGTTTAGAGTGTTGTCTGTAGTGCGCGTGCAAGGACGAGTGGACGATTTGCATCCAAGCGCGGAATATTCCGCGAGCCACGACTGTGGTCTATCACCGAGCGCGGAATATTCCGCGAGCTACGACTGTCGCCAATCACCGAGCGCGGAATATTCCGCTAGCCCCTACTGTTTACTATCACCAAGCGCGGAATATTCCGCGTGCTACGGCTGTCGCCTATCACCGAGCGCGGAATATTCCGCGAGCCGCTACTGTTTACTATCACCAAGCGCGGAATATTCCGCGTGCTACGGCTGTTGACTATCACCGAGCGCGGAATAATCCGCGAACTGACTCTTTCCACTACCAGTTGCTGAATATTCTTCATATGCCACAGATCACGTTTGATCTCATCTACATCGATTTATTATATTCTTAACAAGTTTTACTTTTGTCTAGTCGTCAGTTGAACGTGGCTGATGCCTGAACACGGCACCTTAAGTAGAGCCATGATGCAAATGGGTTAAATGAGGATGCAAGGGCTGTCCTAGGACAGTCCTGTTGGTGAAAGTGAGATACGAAGTTTGAAAGATTCAGTCAGTAATCAGTTAGAGTTAGTTCCAATCCTTAATCAGCGAAAATTTTAGCCGAAGTACTCTCCAACGTAGTAGAGACTCTACAATACTTTAGATATACTTAGATACACTATACTTTAGATTATTAGATAAAACTATGGATAATCGTGTGTCAAGTATTCTTTTTTCATATTTCTGACAATGCAAATAGATTAACCCTTTGCACTCGAGGATTTTTTGGCTAGAGAAGACTAGAAATTCAAAGATTCTCTACTAAAACACTAACTATACTTTTTTGAGCAGTAAATAAAGAATTGTATAATAATAGAATTATAGAGTTATTTCGATACCTCGCACACTGTTACATTACATTAAATTTGATATATTAATTAATATCGATGTTCCAAATTTTATGAAACGGTGACTGAAGCTCAATTTTGAATAGTAATATTTTTAGATCGCGTGACTTCTACGTGTCTTGAAAGGTCGTGAATGATAAAAAGAATGTCGACTAAATTAATTATAATTTATGAGAGTTAAGAGATGAAGGAAACTCGAGTATGAATGTGATTCCAAGTGAATAATACGTCTTTATAGAGTGAATTCTTTTTAGCGAGAATTCAGAGAACAATACCTAGCAAACATGCATTCAGATATTTCATTTCTTCTACACCGTCGTATGTGATCTCTCCGTTAGTCTTTTTTAAGACCTGCAATATTTCAGCTCGAACTTTCTCTTGAATGGCTGGCTTCCACGCAAGCTCGTACAAAGCATTGCTGATCGTTAGCGACGCATTCTCGGAGCCAGCAAGGAAGAAAAGCTGAGCTTGGGATGTCAGGAACAAATTGTCTGCTTCTGTACATGCAAATAATATATCTCACATTTGATATTCAAGGTATCGAACATATTCTGTTCAAATACACGTGTATTTAAAGAGTATTAACGCTGAAAATACTGGTGAATAAACTGCCGATGGAATAAACTAATATTATTAAATAACATTAATTACGCGAAATAAGTTTCAATTTCGAATTAGTTCAGATTGGAAAAAAATTTCGTGTTTCTGTTAAATGATTTTGGGTCGTAAACAGGTGGCTCGACGATTAAAATTGATATGGAAATCTTAAACAAAGGAGCAAAAATAAAATTCTTATCTCTATGATAATTTGCTTATTAGCTACTCAAAGGTTGTTTTCATCGTGGGACCAACAGATTACGAACTGGTTTGCATATCATTTAACACGAAGTAAATATTATTGCGTTAACCTTTTGATAAGTTTGCATCACTTATGCTTTCACTCTTTCAACAATGGTATGTGGCTGCAGATATCGACAATCTTAAATCCCATAATGTAAAATATTTAAATTGTATATATTTAAATAATATTGAATATAAATATTACTTGAATATTTGAAATAATAAAATTCACAATAGATATTCAATATGGATAATATTTAAATTAATTAATTATATTCTGCGTATGTTTATAAATAAATGTTCAGTATTAATTGAATATAGAAAAATAGATTGTGTGGTGGTGCAAATATATGAAATTTGAAATTGTTGGAAGAATCTTGGAAGATAAGCTTCCTTATCTCATCTTTAAGTACACTGTAAATACGTATATTTCATTTCTATTTTTCAATATCTGTGTTATATAATGTATTAATATAGGATAATATTATATTAAATTACTAACACTGTAGTATTATAGTATTGGAATACTATATACTATAATATCATAATATTATATACTAATAATACAATAAATTAAATACTATAATATTATATGGTATCTATGTTATATAATGTATTCATTAATATAGTATAATACTATATTAATTATAATACTATATTAAATATAGGATAATATTATATTAAATTATTAACACTGTAATATTATAGTATCGAAATACTATATAATATAATATTATAATATTATATACTAATA